CCAAATGGGTTCTGCCATCTGCCATATCAAGACAAAACATATAAGACTTTAATGAAAAGGGACTTTAACACAGTGAATATACAATATGGAACACAAAGAATATAATTTCTAAATCAGTCACCTAAGTTACCCATCCCCTCGTAGGCAAAAGTCAACCTAAAAGGGATTGGCCCAAAGCAAGGCCTGAAAGTCTGCCACAGACTAAAGCACCTTCTGGCTGGGAGCCATAGAAAAGGTTCAGAAATGGCCAGACAAATCTGGGAGGAAAAGAGCAAAATCAAAATCAATATAAACACTGCCATAGTCACCTCCCTACAGGTATCTCACCCACATCTGCCTTAACCAGTCCAGGGTCAAGAAACAAGCACGGTTTCTTCATCACATGCTTGCTGTTCCATGTGGCTTCCTCAGGTCTCCTTCTGGCTCTCCATTCTGCTTCCTTCTTCTCTTCTCAGATTTCTTCTTTTCTCCTCTTTTTCTCCTCAGCTCCACCTGGAACTTACCCTTTTCCTAGGGACCACCCTGTTACACTCTGATCAAAGTAAATCTTATGACTGAAAGTCAGCGCAGGAGTTTGATGTCAATAATGGCTGGGTGCTAACTACTGGTAATACCTCCCAGTCACTGTGAAAACGCCAAATACTACTGGGTTGCTGACTCACTCTGCAAGCCCTCTCAGAGCCTAGCACACAGCAGGGACAGAGATGGTTGATGAAAAATTAACTTTGCCTCCAGACTCCTTATAAATAACTTACTCAGTGACTAAGGAGTGCCATGACATTTAAAGATAAAAATCTTTAAAGCAATTATTTCTTCTATGCAAAGTTACTTCACTGTAACTTTTTAATGTGAGGCTTAGAACACATCTTTCATTTATTCAGTGACAATTTCTATCAGGAATACTCTAGTCTTTTTATTTTTCTATTAAAATTTTCTTCCGTTTGTAAGAACTCTTGTCACAGATAATGAATATTTTTGCAGTTTGTCTTAAATGTTTCAATGCTTTTTTGACAAGCAGACATTGCTAGTATTTCCTTCATGGCCCACTGAGTGAGCATTTCTACTAGTTACAAGATGTTGCTGCAAATGACTATACTATAATGCATTTACCACTTCCTTAGTATGAAATATTTACCTAACCTCCAGGTTTTCCCCTCAGCAATAAGATTATGATGAAGATCTTTGTACATGAATCCTAAAAGTAGGAGTGTCATCCAAAGATACCTTTTACTTTCTTGATACACTTTGCCAAATTACTACTGAGACTCTATATTCCAGGTTCCACTACCTATCCCCACCATCCTCACACTCAAGGGTACCCATACTCCAGACACTGCTCATGAAGACTTATGAGTCAGTGTTGGGTAGCAGCAAGCAAGGTGAGGGGTGAGAGTGGGTCTGGAGAAGCAAAGGGAAGTTGTCTATAATTCTGATGCACCTTCTGTCTAAAAGAATTTTCCCTGAGATCTCTCCACCATACCTTCTTGAGATTTAGGTCTCCTCCCAATGGCACCTGAGAGCTCTAACCTGATTGATCCTTTCCTCTACAAGAGCCTCTAACTCTATCTATTCTCTATTACATTACACTTTTTTTTTCTGAAGAGCACTTATTTCTATCCCATTATTATCTTATTAGTCTCCATGTTTAATTTCTGTTGGTAATTATCTTGTCTGGTTTGCTGACTGCAATTATCTTGAGAAACAGGAACTGTCCTCAGGCACAGAGCAGAGGTGTTCTCAAATTGGCTGCTCATTGCACTTGCCTGTGAAATTTAAAAAACCCACTTGTCCTCCCAAGGAAGAAATATTTAATTATTAAATCACTTTACCAAGAACTTTGGTAAAGTTTGGCTATCATTTCATTTAGGAAATATAGAACACAGCATATATTGTCAAGAATTTTTACTTATTATTATATAGTTGGACCCTTCTTAAATATTTTCCAATGTAACAGAGTTTGATTGTCAAAATTATGAAAGTGGTTGGAATTCTTGTGTTAACTTTCATTTTCTTGGGACAATGCACTGGAAGACGTCATCTATGTGTGTGTGTGTGTGTGTACACGTGTATGTACATAAAGGTGCACTTACGGACTGCACTGTTTCAGCCGCTGTGCCTCCATTTTTACTATAAAAATATGACATGCTAAATATAAGATGTTGCATTATAAAGTTTTACTGTTTGAAAATAGACCAGTACACAATTAAGAATTTCAGGAGGAACTCATTTAACATAGATTCTTAGTTTGTTTATAGGTCTTAAATTTTGTGTGCAACTATAATCCATAACAAAACATAATCATAATGAAGTTACTGTTCTGTTTTATGTAGATATAGAACAATATACTGCAAATGAAAAAGTCAAAATTCAGGCCTCTCTGTGGGCCAATTAAATCAGAATCTCTGGGGATAGAACCCAGGTATTTAGCAGCTTTTAAAATTCTCCAGGCGTTTACAAAGTGCAGTCCGGTTTAAGAAGCACTACCATAGAAATCACTCAGTATGGTTTGTGACTGGGTGGAAGGATGATGAATAAACAAAGGACATTGTGACCAGCATAAATTTGGGACTTTGGTGCCCAGTACTGCCACAAACATGCTGTGTGATCTAAGCCGTGTCACTCTACTTTCCCAAACATTCGTAATTGCACTAGATGCCTACTAAATCCTTTCCTGCCTCAAGACTTCACCATTGCCTTTTTTATTAATAGCAAGAGCTTTCCACAGAGTAGAAGAGCTGGGAGAAGCACAAGGACAACATGAGTGAGGCCTTATCGCAAACATCATCTAGAATAAAGGTGGCCCAGCAGGGAGTTCTTTACTGTCCTTTTTTTTTTTTTAAAGATTTATTTATTTATGTATACAGAAATGGGGCACAGCCCAGAAGTGCAGGGATAGAAAGAGGCTTCACCAGAAACACAGTGGGGAGCAGACCAGGCAAATTGAGAATTGAGGAAGTACACTGCTGAGGGGAGCAGTGGGCAAGACAGGAGAGGTCTGCTGTACCATGTGGATCACCTCTGGGGCTGGGATCAAACTCGCACTGAAGTGGACATGCCTTGGCTTAGCTTAAGCAGTGCAGCACTCCAAGCTGCTGTGCCACCAGGGAGGACCCTCTTTACTATCTTTTTACTCAAGAAAGTATGTATGATGTTCTGAGAATCTCACACTTAGAAAACCAGCATATAGCTTTGTCCTGGATGTGCAGAGCAGGGAAGTATGGCCTTCACTCCAAAAATATTCACTGGGTAGACAAGTGTGTGTGGGTGCTCTAAGTTAGGAAAGAGGGAGAAAGATACCTTTATCTGACAGAATCTTCTCTGACACTGTCTGCTCAAGGTCTTCTCCAAGGCTGTGCAGGGGTTCCTCTATCAAATGTGAGCAGTGTGAACTTCCTTGACTGCTGCCAGAGTGTTTTGCTAGGATCTTTGAAGGGGGGGAAAAAAGCATGATGCCAACCCAACTCTGCTACTATCACTCAATGCAAATAATAAAACAGGACAATTTCTTACTGGGAAAGATAGCTGCTTTATTTAAAACATTGCAAAGGTGTTTACAATAGGGCCTCTCGTGTCCTACCTGAATCCTGTTATTCTTCAGGCCCTATTCCCTAGGCTGCTTTATATACAGCTATTTAGGCTTGCCTACGAGATGAGATTTTGCCTCCTGTCCATGGACATCCACACCTGTCTGTTCACCCAAAAGGGGCTATAAAGTATCACATTCACATTCCCTTGCCCTACACTACCTCAGGAAAGGACAATTTTAGGATTGCAAAAATAACATACTTGCGAAGTTATGAGAGGGCCACCTTAGAAGTTGAACTTCATTGCCTTTACAATGGCTAAGGGCAAGATGTCACAGAACTTGGATAACAGAATATCTGTCTCAATATCTTAACTTGAAAATTCAAACTTCTCAAATTATTAGGGACTAGGGAGAGGTAGAAGTGGTGAGCGGTACACAGTTCTGCATTAATTTGCTAACTTCATTTAAGAAGGTAATGGCTGTTCTTAGAGATGTTCCAATTTGTGTACTCCGGTTCCAGAGAAATCTCTGTTCCATCAGGATAAACTCCAAGAGAACAAGAGGGGCACAGAATAGCTTCAAGAACAATCGTTTATATTAAGTATCTACTTTTTAAGATTCTAGCCATGCAGAGGACACAAACACACACACACTGATCTCAAGTAGCTCAGTGTCACACACCACTCCCCAACACAGGATAGAATCTCTTCTACAGTGAAAGTTTTCAGGAGTCATTTTTTTTTTTTTTTTTTTTTATGAAACTAGTACAAGGCGTGGAAGAGTGGAGGGACTGGGGCTGTGACCAGGGAGACAGTTTTTCGTGTCATCTTCTAAAACAGACGAGGAATGCATCGTGTAAATGTCGTGGCAGCCAAAATGCCTAAACCCATTCCACACTCCCAGAGATAATCTTTCCCCCACAAAGGTAGTTTGAGATGGATGTGAGGGAGGCGGGAGGTAGAGAAGAGGCCAAGGACAATATCCTAATAAGGTTCCTAGGTAGTAAGCTGCACCGGCTTGAGGGCGCCAGCGAGGCACGAGTGTGACTCGTTCGTGTGTGGAGTAGTTCGTCCAAGTGTGCGTTCATTAGAGGACACCCTGATTCTGGGTCCCCAAGCGCGTCGCTCTGGGACTTTGATTCGGGACCCAACCCGCCTCCGAAGTCCGTCTCTGGAGGACGGAACCCACCTGGGGCATCCGATGCCCGTGAACAGCAGAAGCCGGTGCCCGAAGGAAAACTTTTCTCAAGATACAGCAATAGTCCCTTTCATAAAGCATTTCGGAGAAAAATCCAGAGCCCTGGAGGGAAGCTGAGGCAGAACGCCTGGCCCCAGCCGGAGGGAAAGGACCGCCGCTAGTCGGAGCCGGAGCTGAGGGACCTTGACAGGGGCTGGCCCCGCGCAGGCGCAGTTGCAGTCGCGCAGCGCGCTCGCCTTAGCGCGCATGCTCGGCCGGGCCGTGGCGCTCCGGGCTGACTGTGGCGGCGGCGGCGGCTGCAGCGGAGGAAGTTTCTGCTTTGCACTCCACCCCGGTAGCAGCTTCGTGACCGGAGACAGCTTCCTCCGGACGCTCCGAGGGTTCGCTACCGCCGCGAGTCAGTCGGACCCTACTATGGGGTTGCCCAAGGGGCCGGAGGGCCAGGGTCTCCCAGAGGTAAGGACTCCCGGTTCCTGACACGTCGGGGTTCCAGAGAAGGGGCCGAGCCCGCGCGGGCAGCAGGCTAAGGGGGCCTGGGCTCTGTTTGGGGCGTCTAGCCGTCTCTCCCCGGTATGTACCCCCCTGGGAGTTCCATCATTGTCAGCTGCGGGAGGTGGCGGGCTCCCCGGGTGGGCGTGGGCGGGGCTGACTTCAGCCGCTCCCCGTTCCCCTGGGACCGAGGTGGCCTTCCCAGCCCAGTACCTGCCTGAAAGCAGCCCTGGAGCCCTGGAGCCGGGGCTCCACTTTTCCCGCTTTCCTGGGCTTTCCCCGGATCCCCAACGCCTCAATGCTGTCCCCGCGGGCCGAGACTACTGCGCCCCGGAGTCACGAGACGCGCGCTGGGGCGGTCCGGCTCTGGTTGTGCAAAGGGCGATGACCTTGTTGCTCCAGCCGCTGCTGCTTGCGGCCGGTGGGGTCTCTGCGACTAGCCCCGCCCGCCTTGATGTCAATAGGAAACGCTGCCGGACTTTTATCCCCTCCCGGGGCAGGCTGGCAGGAGGAAGTTTGGGAACCAAGCGCGCACGAGGTTGTGTCCAGCCGGGTCAGCGCGCCACGGGGTTCAGGGTGGCACCGCGCCCTCATGGGGCTCTGTGGTGGGCCGGGTGCAGGTACTGAGACCCTGGTGAAACGTGGCTGCTTCCCCAGAAGGTCGTGAGTAGCTTCCTTTTAGAGGTGTTTAGGATATCTCCCACTCGGTGGTGGGAGAGGACAGTCAATGGTTTCTGTATTTCCATATTGGCTCTGAATGAAGGAAACTGCAGTTCCTTTGGCTAGTTGGTTTGTGTGTCGTCTTGTGCAATTGATTTACTCAAAAGCTAGTTAAGTTTACTAGACTCTTGAAAGAAATTGAATCTATGCTGTACCCCTGTCCCTCTGAAGGTTCTGAACTAGGCATTTGGTAAACTGTTCCTTGACATGGTCAGTGGTCCTCACATTTAGCTGCCTGTACTAGTCTTGCTTCACCCCTAAGCCCACAGTTCTTTCATCCCACAAATAGCCACTAATTGTGGAATCATTCAATGAATAAAAGCTGGTATCTAGTCCTAGCAGGGCAGAGAGCCTATTGATATGTGCTCCTAGAATTCAAGATCATTCTGTCATCTTAAGAAAAACCTAGCAAATACAATCTCAGAACCCTTGTTTTAGGCAAAACCCTACTGGGGTGGGGGGGGGGAGGTGGGAAAGGGGTGAAAGAGTTGCTCTGATGGAACTCAGGAATTGGGAAGAATAGGATATGTATGTGCTGTGATACTTGATTTGATAATTCTTTTTTGCCACTCCTTTATTCTAGGCTTTATTCTTTATTCCGGCCTTTGCTGTAGGCTTCTGTCTAGTCTCTTGGGTTCTACCTGAAATTCCTGCTATTTGGTGCCCCATAGTATGACCAGTAGGAGTTTTTCTAAAATACAAAGCAACTTTCTCCTTGTATTCTTTGTTAACTCTTTCTGACTGATAGGAGCTCTTGGTTTTGGAGGCAGACAGGTTGAATATAAACAAATTGTTATCATTCATTTCACAGAACAGTTTATATGAGTATGGTTAATCTGTGTCATTACTAAGTTATTGATGGTTAATTCATTAAAATAAGTTGTTTTTACCCTTTATTGTGTGGGCTGAATAGAAAAATGGGTAACTTGGCCTTGCTTTCTTGCTGAAGTAATTTTAGGGCAATTGAAGAATTAACACACCTGGTTTAAAAGCCTACAGTAATCTTTATTAGAATTTTATCAGGTTTTTTTTTTAAAGATTTATTTATTTATGCATACAGAGCTGGGATACAGGCCAGGGGTGCAGGCATAGGTGGGAGGATTCACCAGAGACAGAGTGGGGAGCAGAACAGGCCAACTGGTGAAGCACACTGCTGAGGGGAACAGTGGGCAGGTCAGGAGAGGTCTTCTGTGCCATGTGTATCACCTCTTGGGCAGGGATCAAACTCATGCTGAAGTGGCTTTAGCTTCTTAGTGCTGTGCTTTAACCCGCTGCACCACCAGGGAGGGCCCTTTATCAGTGGTTGATGTGTTAGTCATCCTGGTAGCTTTTTATGGCTTCAAGAGAGTAGTCTTCTATTCCCGTTTCCATTTGTTTCTGTGTTAATCTTTGAAGTTAATTTACAGTCTTATTAATACTCTTAAGTTGGTATGCTTTGCCAAAGTTATTTCACAGGTTCTTTTACAAACATACACTTTTGTACTTGGGGGTGAGTAGAAAGAAGCATGGGTCATGTTTCTTCCCTAGGGTTATTAATGGGTGCCCGTTGGGTACAAATTGAGACAAGTATGATCATTCTGTAAAGTATTATCATCTCAGAGGTGTTTACATATCAATGATGGTCAAACAAATGAAGGTTTCCTGTTTCACAGCCCAGGAGTTTTACAAAAATACTTGTATCATTCCATTCTCTTCTCTATCTTTGCACATCTTACTGCTCTTTGCTTTTTCTTTTTGTCTCTCTACTTACAGATATTTCTGAACCATCCCATATTTTTCACAAAGAAGTTGTAAATAATTAATATTACTTTATTTTTTGCATGCTCACTAGAATTTGTGAATGCTAACCTTCACGGTATTTGATAGACTGAACCAGTGTCATTCAAGAGAGAAGTGAAATAAGCAGTAGCTCAAATTTGTTACCTCCATCATCCTTTATTGCAAGCAGTTAGTCACTTTAATTGTTTTTTGTTCAACTATGTTAATATCTATGCTTGTTCTCTTGTCAGTTTGTACTTCATAATAAACTTAAACTTTCATTATCAGCTTTATGACTATGAAAACATATTCTTAATCCATGACTGACTTAGCGCACACATTTTATGTAATGATGGTGCATATCATTCCATATTTAATGTGTGACTTTTGAGCCTAGTGCTGTTCAGAACAGAGGAATAAACATAGATGAATAATAAATGAGTCCTCTCCTGAACCAGTTAATAGTTCACTTGGAAAGACAAATATGTATGTTAACTTGAGACATGTTGCTCAGAAAGTTTGAATTGTGAATGCTATGGATGGAAAATAGAACTGCAGAGGAATAACAAAGTCAGCCTGTATTTGTCAGGGTTGGCATTGTATAGGAGCTAGAATATAAAGATGGCTTCTGGGTGGCTAGAGAATATTGGGAAGAGGAGGTGGCCTGAACAGTGAAGAAACGGGATCAAGTAGTATTTTTCTAGGTTGACCATAGCCATATCTGGATTTGGTGGTAGTGGGGGGAGGGGGTGATGGCCGGCATGGAAGTTAAGGACGAAGTGCAGCAGGTTGAAGCACAACACTAAGAAGCTAAAGCCACTTCAGCAAGAGTTCGATACCCACCACCCTGGAGGTGATCCACATCGCGCATCAGACCTCTCCTGGCCCGCCCACTGCTCCCCTCAGCAGTGTACTTCATTCATCATTTGGCCTGTTCTGCTCCCTACTCTGTCTCTGGTGAATCCTCTCACCGCCCCTGCACCTCTGGCCTGTACCCCAGTTCTATATGCATAAATAAATCTTTCAAAAAAGAAAGACAAGTTGTAGGCAAAGATTCGAAGCCAAACTGAAAAGTATGGAGTTTATCTTATATTATAATGGTTCCTTATGATAAGGACTAGGTTGTGAATTAAAGAGGGATAGCATGAAAGCTATGATGTAAGAAGTAATGAGCAAAACAAATTAACAGGGTAGAAAAATTGAGAGGTAATTGCAGGAGTCCTGCAATGAAGTATAAGTAAAAGAGAAAGGAGCATAAATGTGAGATGCAGAGAAATGGAATATTCAGCAGGCATTGTTGAGAAAGGTAGTATTAGAGGTGCACAAGAATTTGAACCAGGATACATTGATAGTATTTTATAGAGCCAGGTAGTTTTTGATTTTCTGCAGGAATCAAAGAAGAGAGCATAATTCATAAAAGTAATTGGAGTCAAAAGTACTAGAATATTTAGACAAATTTAAGCTGTAAATATGCCTAGAAATGAAAGTGGGTTATAATTTAACACTTTTAAATTAAATCCCTATATAATTATATTTATTAAATTTATTTTATTAAGATAATCCTGTTAGGTAATTGCCCATTAGTTTATATGGGTTGAGAGTCTTCTTTGTATTTACTTCAGAAATCAAAAAAAGGAGTGCAGATGAGGCTACTTCTTTGAAGTCCCTTTTTGTTCTTGCTCTTTTTGTTAGTGACTTCTGGGGCCAACATGAATATAAAATTGAAAACAAAAAAACCCTAACTCATTCTTACCTGTATGTAAGGAGTTTACAATCTAATTGAGAAGCTTGTCAGGTAGACTGTATATATTAGCAAGCAGGGAGGTAATATGCAATAATCTTCCTTTCTCTGGATTCTTTCAGCATCTGATGAATAGTTTATACTGTGGCGATTAACAACTGGTTGAAGATTAGGGACCCAGTTCTTTTTGGCTCTGCAGTACTATGTTCCCACATTCCAGCATGAATGCAGTGATTGTGTCATCTGACCCTTGGCAGTGAGATTGTAGTATCAGGGAATATACCTGGTGTTCTTTAATTCAAGGCAGCTTTTATCAACTTAACTTTTACCTTTTCTCTTAGGTAGAAACAAGAGAAGATGAAGAACAAAATGTCAAGTTAACAGAAATTCTGGAGCTTTTGGTGGCTGCTGGGTATTTCAGGGCAAGAATTAAAGGCTTGTCACCTTTTGACAAGGTAAGAGGAAATCTTTCTTAGCATTAGGCTATTCTTTGTCAGGGTGGCATGGTAAACCATGGAGGGAGGCGGAGATTGTGTTTTACTTTCTCTATGTCCACATTTCCATTCTCTCCAATTCAGGTTCATTATGGAAGTGTTCAGACTTTCTATTAAAAGAAAATATTATCAGTAGATATGCTTTGACTTGCTTCACCATGCATGAAGCTTTGAGAAATGAGAGAAGAAAAAAAAATTTATTTTCAAGGAATGTCCAGGAGATAAAGCTTCTGCAATATGAAATAATATGAGTTAATAAGCAGTCCCCCATTAGTGTGCCTGATATTCTCTGGATGGTAAATACTAAGTTTGGAGGAGGGATAATTCAATATGGAATGAAGTCTTTTCATTCAGTAGAATGTTAAGCAATTATTGTGCATAAGACATAATAATAGGAGTTGAAAGCACAAAGACCTTGTACTCTTAAGAAACCAGTGTCTTCACAGTGGGAGAGACACAAACCTACATGTATAGAATAAGTGGTTTGATGCAGTTAAGTTCATCAGTGAACTGTGCACAGATTTGAAGCATCTTGATCAGACAAGACAGGCCAGAAACTCTTCCTGGTAGAAGGAAAGTTTGAGTATGCCATTGTGCAGCAATGCACGGTTGGCCACATAATAGAATCATTGTGGGCCATTTTATAATACAGATGTATAGGCTTTACCCATTGAAATTCTGGTTACTTGTGCCTGGGTTGGGGACTGAAATTTGTTTTACCAGCCCTCTCACTTGAGTCTACAACAAAGCCAGAGATAAGAGTTGCTGTGTTTTTGTTGATGCTTTTGTTTTTCTGGTTTTCAAGCTTTGTCTGAAAGGTTTTTGATTCCAAATGGATTTGTAACCTTATTGTCAGTTGCATCGCAGAGAAATCTTGTGAGAAATGTAGAACAGGGATTCATCTCTCCTGTAGGTAGATTGAAAAACAGTAAAATGTGTGGAAATTAAGTCATGAGACACGGTCTTGGCTATTCACGTGCTTAGTCCGTAAAACATTTAATTCTTCTGGAATCTGGCACTTGTCTGAAACTGGGTTAAGACTTCTCTTGATTGAGAATTAATATCTGTGTCCCCTTTACTATATAGAAGATCTACGTATAGTAGATCCATGTAGTAATAAAAGTCAGTCACATAGCCACATTTCCAGCACTTGTAACCACATGTGCCTTGTAGCCACTGGGCAGAGCAGAAAGTTGCACTTGACACTGTTGTTTTAGATGGCCGAGAGCTGCTGGAATCAGAATGTACATACGCTTTTTTTGTGTTTACTGGTTCTGGGACAACTAGTTATAGTTTATCAGTCTTCTTACCCTCACCCCAAACTGGAAAGAGAAAATAAATGTTTTCTTTGTGTTTTGCAGGTTGTGGGAGGAATGACTTGGTGCATTACCACTTGCAACTTTGACATAGATGTTGATTTGCTCTTTCAAGAAAACTCTACAATAGGTCAAAAAATGTAAGTGAAAAAGTCTAAAGGGCTAACTTTTGAGTCCCTACTGTGCCAAAGGTTATGCTAGATGCTTTACATATTTCATTTGGTAATTTTTTATATTTTAATTTTCATTACAATGGGTATTTTCCCACCTTTACGAACTATGAAACTGAGACCGAAAGGAGCCAATGTCATACAATTAGCATATGTGACATGTAAAAGTCAGGTTATTTTTAATACTTTTTCTTGATCAAACTTTCAATTGACTTTTTAGTGTATTTTATTCCAAAGCTAATTTGAAGGGTAAGGAAAGGACACTCTCCCTCCTCGCTACCCCTGGTAAAGCAGAGCCTCACCTTGCCTGCCGTTAGGAGAAGGCAGCGTGGACTCCTGCTGGAGTTTCCTGCTGAGGTCATGTCACCCTGCCTGGTCTTCCATAATCCAAGGGCTTGGTGAGCTCATTAGGCTGTTTGGGATCCCAGGTCTGCCCCACTCTGGTAGTAGACAGCTGTGTGACCGTGGGCAAACCCCTGATCCTTTATTTGTAAGTAAGAGAATTTATAATTTCAGATTTTATGCTCTGTCATCACTTTATTTTCTGAAGCCTTTTCCTCCCCTCATGAAAGAAAATACTTCTGAAAGGAATAAAGGTGATTTACAAATAAATGCAGGAAGCAGTAACAATGGAAAGGTGAAGAAGCAAAAGCAAAGCAAGGGTAAAGGAAAAAAAGAGAGACAAAGGTAGAGCTGGAGATAAAACTATCACATTTTTTATTTACCATAAAATGCCTTTATTAAGGGCAGGCCCTAGATTTGGCTCTAATCTTCTGGCAGCCAGCAAAAAGAGAAAAGCAAGACAAATTGCCCAATTGATGGTTTATATAGGATAAGAAAAAGGGTTCCATCAGAATTGCAGGAGCTCTGAGAATATGAAAACTAAAAGACTTCACTTTACTCTTCATTAGAGTACACACTTACCACAGTGACATTACGCTCATGGATGCCCAGGCACAAATGAAGGGGCTCTACATCTTCACATTTGTCATTCCAAGCCTAATGTCATTCCAAGCATCTGGAGACTGGTGGTGAGAAACCCCTCGTAGGAGGAAGTTTGATGAAGTCCAGGTGGGGGCTCTGCTCAGTGCTGGGCAGGCTAAACCACAGGTAGATTTTTATTGTTACTGAGTTTTTGTTGTTGTATAGGTGTTGCAACCATCAAGTTAAAAAAAATTTCAAATACCACCAGAGGGAACAAGACACACAGCTCATGTCCTTCCCCCTCACCATTCTATACTCCATTTTTATTCCCTGGAGAGAAGCATCTTTAGATTTTCATTTCTTAGTGTGCTCACTTACATCTCCAACCATATGTATATTCTCATTCAAGTCTGACGTGAGGAAGAAATTAACTCCCCTATGCTAGTTACTATACTCCCTTTTCTTCCAGTCTTTTAATTATTGTTTTTCTATGATTGTTTATATAATTTTAATCTGCTCCAAGCTTCTACTTCTTGATCCATTAATATGAGATAGTTTCTTCTAGTTCCATACTACATAGTGAAGAGCTTTTAGTGTTAGCTTTCTTTCTCCCTTTTGATCGCCAGCTACCATCATAATATTTCTTTTGTAATGGTCAGTGTATAATATTTATATCTGTTCTATAATAGCAGTTAAATTGCCCATACTTTATTTAGGGTAGATTTAAAACAGGTCTGTAAATTATGGTTAAAAACTAAGAATTGTTAAGACACAGCACTGAGAATCTAAAGCCACTTCCCCATGAGTTCGATTCCCGCCTGCCCCGGAGGTGACCACATGGCATGGCAGACCTCTCCTGACCTGCCCGCTGCTGCCCTCAGCAGTGTACTTCGTTGATCTGCCTGTTCTGTTCCCCACTCTGTCTGTGGTGAAGCCTCTCACCGCCCCTGAGCCTCTGGCCTGTACCCCAGTTTTGTATGCACAAATAAATAAATCTTAAATAAAAAAAAAAAAAAACAACTAAGAATTGTGAAGGGGGTCCGAGAAATGGACGTATAATGATGTGGACAGTAATGCTGTGGTTTACAAGAAACTTTGAAATATCACAATCTGATGGAACCTCTTCACTACAGAGTCAGTCACAGCTCTGTGTACTTTGGATACATTAATGAAAACTGTCCTGTCCTTAGGAGCTTATATTCCAGGGAGAGACAAACCTTAAACAGCTAATTTAACAAATAAATAAATAAAAATAGAAGACTAGTATGTTATGGGGAAGCTTAAAGCTGGGGAAGGGCATGAGGAGGGATGAAAGATAAGTGGCAATTGTAGTTTTAAGTCAGTGCAGGCCTCATTGAGAAGGTGATAAGTGAGCCAAGAGTGGACGGAAAAGGGTCGCAGGCATAGGGAACTATCAGTGAAAGGGCCCCCCAAATGAAGCTTGCCTGGACTGGAATGAAGAGGGAAGTACATAGAAGTCTCTGGGGCCAGACCAGGCAAGGTCTTGTTGGTCAGAAAAGGAAATTGAGCTTATGCGAGCAAGATGGGAATCCTTGCAGTATATTAAGCCGAGGAGGAGCATAATATTGGATTGTCAGAAAAGTTGTGACATTTTTTTCTATGCATGACTTTTCTGACAACCTAGTATTTACTTTGCTTTAGAAGGAACCCACAGATTGCTGAATTAGGAGGGTGATGAGGGAAGCAGGCTGATCCTAGCATATTATAATCCTCATAGGAGATTTTGGCAGTGGGCTAATAATAGTTATGGATTCTGGATCTATTTGAAGGTAAAGCCAACAGAATTTCCTTTGGGTTTTCCTTAATTTGGGGTGTAAGAGGAGAGTCAAGGATAATTTCAAGATGTTTGAACCCCCTCACCCCCAAGAAATGGAGGTAGTCTCTTGTGAGTCATTGACAATCAGATTTTGTGTGTGTTAGTATTTTTAATTTTTTAAAAGATTTATTAATGGGCCCTCCCTGGTGGCACAATGGGTTAAAGCGCAGCACCATCTCACCTCAGCCACTTCACCATGAGTTCAATCCCTCACTGGGGAGGTGACTCACATGGCACAGCAGACCTCTCCTGACCAGTCCACTGCTCCCCTCAGCAATGTACTTCATTGATCTGCCTGTCTGCTCCCTGCTTTGCCTCTAGTAAATCCTCTCACCACTCCTGCACCTCTGGCTATACCCCAGTTCTGCATGCATAAATAAATATAATCTTTAAAAAGGTGCAGGAGCAGTGAGAAGATTCACCAGATACAGAGTGGAGAGCAGAACAGGCAGCTTGACAAAGTACACTGCTGAGGGGAGCATTTGAGACAGGAGAGGTGTGCTGCGCCATGTGGATCACCTCTGGGTTTGCATCTCCAGGAAGGGCCCAGATTTTGTATTTAGATATCATTTCTTTCTTGAGTTTCTGATTGCTCTTTTCTTCTTGTTAACAAAGAAGTGCATTGCTCTACCTATAGCTAAGATCAGCCAGCTTCTTAATAATTTAATTTATGTAGCATGAATTTATGATCTTCTTGAGGACACTCATTTGAAGTATCTTTTTGTTACACTTTGAGCTGATTGCTTATTATCCCTGATGCACATCTATTTCTGAGCTAATCATATTACTTCTTAGATTCTGTTTATCTTTCTTTTGAAAATCCTTTTGCCTTTTATAATGTTCTTAGCTCCGTTTTCACCTTGGTGTCTTTGAAGGTTACAATACATTCCCATCAGCAATAGTCCTATTCTTAGAATAGAATATTGGAGCATAGAGTTTTTTACATGGGTTCTTAATCTCTTATCTATATTTCTGAAAGGTAAAAAACACCAAAACCTTTTTTTTCTAAACATGGATACAAAACTTAGCTGGAAGCAAACTTGTCCTGAACTGATTTAGGACTATTCATAGCCTATATTGATCCCACTTGCCTGCAGTTTTGCTGCAGAAATACTAATTTCTTTGATTACAGGGTGATGCTCTTAAGTTTCATCAAGATCCTGCATAACACATAGAATCCCATCTGACCCTAAGGGGTTTTGATACAGGTTTAAGGATCTGTTATATTCTCAAGTATTTGATGTATAGCTTCTAAGTGAACTATAATTGTGGGCAAAGCTGGGGACAGGGGTTTCCTGACTAAAGGCCCATCAGACTCAGCAGTGTAGTTAGGTCTTTATTATCTGAGAAGAAATGCCATAGCCAGAGAGCACTGAGCTATCCGAAATACTTTGGTTGGTTTTGGAATGTGTTCTGTGTTTGGAGTCCCTCCCTGCAATTTAGACTAATGCTGCCTTACATTGTGGGGCACCTTAGTGTATCCCTGTTGGTATAATGAGTAGCCAGGCAGAGCTGTCTGAGCAATGCATTTGCCTTTTGAGGGCATAATTTTCTTTTAGACTGTTTTCTTGACCCTTCCTGATCCTTCTTTCTTGAGGCCTTCATCTGCTTCTGCCATTCATCCCTAGCCTATCTGAAAGCCCCCTTACCAAAAAAAAAAAAAGCCCCATTACCATAGGGCCCTATGTTCAGAGGTCCATAAATAAGATTTTAGCCTTATATCTGAATTTAAATATCTTTCTTGTATAGACATAGAACACTTACACATGTATTTTATTTTAAAGATTTATTTATGCATACAAGAGCTGGGGTACAGGCCAGCAATACGGGAAGGTGAGAGGATTTGCCAGAGACTGAGTAGGAAGCAGAACAGACAGATTGACTGAAATACACTGCTGAGGGGAACAGCAAACGAGGCAGGAGAGGTCTGCTACACCATGTGGGTTAGCTCCCTGGCCAGGGATTGAACTCTGTGCTGCAGTGGCTGTGGATCACTTCATAGTGCTGCGCTTTAACTCCTTGCACCACCAGGAATGGCCCTGCACAAGTATTTTATTAGTTAACTTTCACAACAACCTTTGAACAGACAGGTCAGTGATTACCCATCATTTTATGACGGAAGTATTAGACCAGAGGGAACCGAGTGACTTGCGAAAATTCCCAGAGTGGTTGACAGAGCTGGAATTTGGACACTGGTTCAATTCACCCTTTCTCTGCAGTTGCAGAGAAAAACTCTTAAAACTAAAGGAGTCAATCACTTTGCTGTTGTGAGTGGGCATGTTATACTCTTAGACCAGGAGACCTGCCTACAGAGACTTCTGTAGTGGTTACTTTCCCTGATTTTCAGAAAGTCAGAGGATCCTCCCTGAGCTGGAGGGAGAAGCCAAATGGAGACTGCTAGATTTCTGCAAGAAGTCATCTTGAATTTTCCTGGCACCCAGCCTGCCAGTGTTCCCTCCACTTCCGTACTCCGTGGCAATGTAAAGGCCTTCAGCTGTTTCCAACTGCTGCTGAGACTCTAGATTTTAGCAGTAATCTCTGGAAGGTGGGCTTACGAGGATTGTAAACTCTGCGGTGACCCTCAACAGCCTTCCCTCAGGATCTTTGTGAACTGGGATAGAAGGCCATTTCTGAGTAGTGAGTAACCCAGAAGAACCCTATCTCAGGATACAGTATTAGGGTATCAGCCTCTTATTTTGGAGCTGGTGAATGGTTCTAGACACTTAGTAACTCTATGTAGACCCATAGATCTGCATCCACTAGAGGGAGCTTTTCTCCCACGAAACCAAAAAGTAACTGAGGAATTGGGGCCCCAAATGTATGAATAGTAAGACCTGCACTGAGCACGAGTGCAGACCCAGGGTTAGTGAGCATCTTCATTGTTAAGCTTGGAGTGAGGGCCCATCTTTTCCCCCTCATAAGTTTCAGATAAGAAACAGGGCATGTGAATCTGATGAAGATCAAAATAAGAAACTTATCAGAGAGAAAGCCTTAAATATGTTGCACGGTGGGTTGGCTAGTACTTCTTTACCAAACTGTCCCATTCCAGCCCCAGAAAGAGGTGGACAACCTCTGGTTCCCCTCACCCCCACACAGTGCCAGGCCAGACATCTCATGGCAAAAGAGATGCACATATCCCAAAGGCAGACACTCAGAATGGAGGGACTGCAGAGCAGCTTCAAATCACATGACAGTTGGCCCTCCCTGGTGGCGCAGCCGGTTAAAGCACTGCACTGAGAAACTAAAGCCACTTCCGCATGAGTTCGATTCCCGCCTACCCCAGAGGTGACCACATGGCGTGGCAGACCTCTCCTGACCCGCCCGCTGC